CCTAGCACGTTGTGAGGCCCTGAGTTCAATCCCCACCATAGAGAAGGTTTTGTGTGTGTGTGTGTGTGTGTGTGTGTGTGTGTGTGTGTGTACTGGGACTTGACCTCAGGGCCTTGTGGCTCTACCTTCTTGATACATGCCCCTGGTTCTTTTTGCTTTTAATTTTGGATAGGGTCCCATACTTTCTGTGTGTACAAGTCCTGTGGCTTGAAATCAGGACCTGGGTGCTGTTCCTGAGCTTTTATGCTCAAGGCTAGTGCTCTACCACTTGAGCCACAGCTCCACTTCTGGCTTTTTTGGTGCTTAATTAAGAATGAGTCTCAAGAACTTTCCTACCCAGGATGGCTTTGAACCACAATCCTCATATCTCAGCCTCCTGAGTAGCTGGGATTACAGGTGTGAGCCACCGGCACCCAGCCGGATCTCACACTTTTACCCAGTTGTCTTGGACAGTAGTACTGCTACCCGAGTCTCCCCAGCTGGGATTACAGGTGGGTGTCAGCTTATTCTTTGAGATCACATCTTGCCTGTCTGTTTTTGTATAGTTCATCTTGAACCATGATCCTTCTTACCTACACTTCCCACAAAGCTGGGATTACAAATGTGAGCCACCAAACCTTAAAGAAGAATTTTTACAATTAATAAGACAGACAAGCCGGGTGCCTTGAGCTGAAGAGTGCAGGGACAGCGCCCAAGCCCAGAGTTCAAGTCCCATGACCGACTCCCCTCTCCCCCCCGCAAAAAAGACAGACAACCAATTTCTTTTCTTGGTGTGTGTGCCCTGTTACTGGGGCTTGAACTCATGTTCTTACCTTCTTCACTCAAGGCTGGCTGCCACTTGAGTCACACCTCCAGTTCCAACTAACTTTTTTAAGTGGGCAAAACACTTGAATAGCACTTCACAGGAAAGAACATCAAAGAAGTCAATTAGTATATTGAAAAGGCTCAGATTTATCCAACTGGACAAGGGAATTTTTTGGGGTGGGGGAAGGGAGAGTGTGCTGGCAAACAGGTTTACACTGTTTGTTTGAGGCCAGGATGTCCTCAGCCTGCTCTAAGCCAATAAATGGCTCAAAGCAAGAAAGCTAGATTCAGGCTTGCCTTGCAAGCAGTCTACCCTGAAGCTTCCTATGAGTCTTGGCTGAGAAGCTCAGGGTCAGACTTGCTTGATAATATGGAAGCTTTCCTTGCCTCTTCCTGCTCTCTCATAGCAGTGGCTGCCCTTTTGCCTAAATCCTAGAACTGGGGATGGATATAGCTCCATGACAGATGATAGAGTGCTTGACCAACATACATGGAGCCTTGAGTTGAATTCCCAGTCACACACACAGGGAGATGCACACTCATGCACACATACCACATACACTCATGAACACACTCACACATACATACTTGCCACAGATCAGACATTTCAAGCTGACTTTGAGGGAAGACAGTAGGATTGAGGAACACACACACACACACACACACACACACAAAATCTGGGACCAGGTGTGGGTGTGGGAGGTGGTGAAAACACACCCTTGGATGTTGGAGGTGCATTTCCTGCCTAAGTTTTTACTTCCAATTCCACCATGGCATCTGCTTCTTGGGGCATCTGCATTGAGAAAGGCAGTAATACCATCTCACTCAGTAATTCCATTCCTGATGTATTCCCAGTAGAAATCAGTGCTTGTGTCCAACAAAAGACATTTTTAGAATGTGCAGGGTTGCTTTACTCATCAGAGTTAAAAATGGACCAGATGTCCATCAATAACAATGGATACATAAAATTGTGGTTGTTCCTATAATGCGTTATGTCACAATCATGAAAAATAACAATTTATTATGTATTATTCCATGAAGAAACCTCACTGAGCCGGGCAACAGTGGCTCACGCCTATAATCCTAGCTACTCAGGAGGCTGAGATCTGAGGATTGTGGTTTAAAGCCAGCCCAGGCAGGAAAGTCCATGAAACTCTTATCTCCAATAAACCACCAGAAAACTGGAAGTGGCGCTGTGGCTCAAGTGGTAGAGCACTAGCCTAGAGCTGAAGAGCTGACAGGGAGAGCGCTCAGGTCCAGAGTTCAAGCCCCATGACTGACAAAAAAAAAAAAAAAAGAAACCTCGTTGACATATGATATGTGGAAGAGGACAGAAGATTAAGATGTCCTATTAACAGCAAAGGGATTGTGAGGGAGAGTGTGGGATACACACACAGTTCATGGAGACCACCAGGAGAATGACAGAGGAGTTGTTACTGAGGACAGTAGAAGACGCCTGTATTCCCCTTGTCCTAGTATTTGTGGTCTGTGGAAAACTCTCCCATTTGAGTGTGGCTGGATTTAGGAACTATCTTCTAAGTACTAGAATGTGTAAAAGTGATGAGATGTCATTTCTAAGATGTTATTTTCTTTCTCTAGAGTGAACTCAGGGCCTCACAATTTGGGCAAGCATGGTATCACTGAACTACATCTCCTCTCTTTTTATTGTATTGTAGTACAGAAGTTTGAATTCAGGGACTTGCACTTACTAGGTCACTTGAACCACTCCACAAGTCTTTTTAATATTGCTTATTTCCCCCCCCAGTTTGAGTTTCTCATTCTATATCCAAGCTAGCCTGGATTGAAATCCTGTTTGTATTTCCCCCTCTTAGCTGAGGTAGCAGGTGCATACTACCATGTCCAGCCATTGGTAAAGATGGAGTCTCTAGGACTTTTTTTTAAATTATTGCCTGGGCTGGCCTCTATGACTCTCTAATTTCTGCCTTTCAAACAGCTAAGATTACAGGTGTGAGCTACCTCACTTGGTTCCCTCTCTTTCTATTTGTTTCTTTTTTCTTTTTTGGGTCTGGTCGTGGGGCCTGAACTCTGGGCCTGGGCGCTGTCCCTCAGCTCTTCAGCTCAAGGCTAGTGTTCTACCTCTTGAGCCACAGCGCCACTTCCGGCTTTTTTTCTTTTTGCTTATGTGGTGCTGGGGAATCGAACGCAGGGCCTCAGGCATGCAAGGCAAGTGCTCTACCACTGAGCCACCTTCCCAGCCCTCTTTCTTTTTAACCTGTTGCTCTTGCTTCTGCTCTGGAGAGGTACAAGTGGCTGGAAAATGTTTCTGTCCAAGAACCAGACAGGATCGAGGCCTGTCAACTTCCATAAATTGAGATGAAGGAAGGGTTCCCAAGCCTGAGCAAACTCCAGCCCCAGCCAAAGTTTAGATTGCAAGGGTGGGGTTGTGCGCAGGGAGGGGGGGGGGGTGTGAGCCACAGAGCATCCAGCTAAGGAATTCCTGACTCACAGAAACTGTAAGAATTTTTTCCTTTTCTTTCTTTTCTTTTTCTTTTGTTCTTTCTTTCTTTCCTCTTCCTTCCTTCTTTTCTTTCTTTCTCTCCTCTCTGTCTCTGTCTCTCAGGTCCTAGATACTGTCAAGCTGCTTTTGCTTAAGGCTAGCACTCTATCACTTGAGCCAGAGCTCCACTTCCAGGTGTTGTGGCTTATTTTTTTTTTTGTTGGTCGTGGGGCTTGAACTCTGGGTCTGGGCACTATCCCTCAGCTCTTCAGCTCAAGGCAAGCACTCTACCACTTGAGCCACAGGGCCACTTCCAGCTTTTTTTCTTATGTGGTGCTGAGGAATGGAACTCAGGGCCTCATGCATGCAATGAAAGCACTCTACCACTGAGCCACCTTCCCAGCCCGGTGTTGTGATTTTTATTTAGTAATTTGTTGGCATGTCTCACAGATTTTCCTGCCTGGACTCGCTTCAAACCACAATCCTCAGTTCTCAGCCTCCTGCATAGTTAGGGTTACAGGCCTGAGCCAATGGCACTGGGCTTATTGTGTTTTACACTGTGCAGTATGGAGTAATTTGTTACCTAGCAACTGATAACTAATATGAGGACATTACTTGTTTCTCAAAGTTACTCAAGACTGAAAACTTCAGGGCTGCAATGAGGAGAGCTTGCAACCTTCAGAAACAGCACGTTTCTTTCTACACACAAATTCACTTACATGTAGATTCCTTTAGTTTTGTCCACCAGGAAGCTCAGAAACCCAGTCACAGCTCCTTTTAGTAATTGTTCAAGCCCATATAGCCTACTTACCTGTGTTCTTTTTTGTTGTTGTTGTTGTCGGTCGTGGGGCCTGAACTCTGGGTCTGGGCGCTGTCCCTCAGCTTTTCAGCTCAAGGCTAGAGCTCTACCTCTTGAGCCACAGCGCCACTTCTGTTTATTTCTGCTTATGTGGTGCTGAGACATCGAACCCAAGGCCTCTTGCATACAATCATATGAATTAGATTACATCAAATTTAATTTGCAGGTAAGTGTTCCGTGAATCACTTTAAAAAATAATTTTCTGTTGCTAAATAGTCTTGTACATTTAAGAAAAAAGTTTTTCACATGTTGCATTCAGGTGCCTGGAGGAGGTGCCAGGAAGATCATGTCATGGAAGTGTGGCTCTGGATCGCTGGGCATTGGCCAGGGTTTATTCGGATTGGGTAAAAAATATCAAGTGATAAAGACGAAAAAAGAGAACAGGATGACGAGGGCTGTCACCGAGCGGCCGAGGATGGCCCCGCCGCGCACAGTGGCAGCTTCGAAAGGCCCATCCGCCGGTCCCGCCCCACCCCGCAGCCAGCCCCGCCCCTCACAGCTCAGAGCCCCACCCACTCTTGGCTCCCTCTCCGCCGTGCCTGCTCCTCCCCCTATAACCACGCCCACTCTGAGGTCTTCCCCCCCCCCCCCCCCCCCCCCCGGCGCTCATCACGCCCACTGCCCCTGGCCCCGCCCGGCTCGCCGGCGGTTGCGCGCTCCGCCCCCTTTTTCCACGCGCGCGCGTGCTAGCGCGCCCGCTCCCCCAGCCCTTCCCGGCTCACTCCTTTCGGGGCGGTTGGGCCGCGCGCCTGTGGGGGCGGGGCCCGGAGGAGAAGACCGAGCCAATGGGGCGCGGCGGCGGCGGCGGCGGCGGCGGAGGCGGCGGCGGCGGCGGCGGCGGTGGCTGGGTCGGGCCCCGACGGGCGGCGGCGGCTGAGGCGGCGGTGGAGGGCGGCGGCGGCGGCGGCGGCGGCGGGAAGATGGCGGCGCCCGTCCTGCTGAGGGTGTCGGTACCGCGGTGGGAGCGGGTGGCCCGGTCTGCAGTGTGCGCCGCCGGGATCCTGCTCTCCATCTACGCCTACCACGTGGAGCGGGAGAAGGAGCGGGACCCAGAGCACCGGGCCCTCTGCGACCTAGGGCCCTGGGTGAAGTGTTCGGCCGCGCTGGCCTCCAGGTACCCGGCGGCGGGAGGCGGGCGGCGGGAGGCGGCGGGAGCGGCCCGGCGGCGGAGCGGGCCGCGGGGGCCTGGGCCCGGTGGCGGCGGGCTGAGGTGGCAGGGCGCAGCCCCGGGCGGCCGCGGCGGGCGCGGGGCTCGCGGAGGGCGGGGCCCAACCCGCCTGACAGGTCCCGGGGTTCTGGCCGGGGGAGCCCGAGGCCGCGCCGGTCCCCCCTCCCCGGTGCGTGCGGAGGACGACCGGGGCCCCCGCGCCTTCCCACCGCCCTCGGGCGCGTGGACAGGTGTTTCCGTGCCTGGCCTTTGTACTCGAAGAGAGCCTGCAGACTTGGGAGATGGGTCCGCGGGCACACCGGCCGACCCCCTCCGGGAGGGGGACCGGTGCTGGATACGGCCCGGGACACACGGACTGACCCTGCCTGCCCCCCCTCCATGGCCCGGGACACACGGACTGACCCTGTCGCTCCCCCCTCCCCGACACCGCCCGGGACACACGGACTGACCCTGCCTGCCCCCCCTCCATGGCCCGGGACACACGGACTGACCCTGTCTACCCCCCCTCCATGGCCCGGGACACACGGATCCTGCCCCCCCCTTGTCACGGCCGGGGACACTCGGACTAAATCTGCCCACCCTCTTCCCCCATGGCCTGGACTCACGGACTGACCCTGGCTACCCCCCCTCCCCGGGCCTGGGACACACGGACTGACTCTGCCCTCCCATCGCCTGGGACACACACGGACTGTCCCTTCTTCCCCCCCCCCCCCCATGACCTGGGCAACACGAATCCTGCCCCCCCACCCTTGTGAAGGCCCGGGACACACGGACTGACCCTGCTCCCCCCTTGACACTGACCCTCTCACACATACACACACACACGCGGGCGGGGGACACACGGACTGACCCCCTGAAGGAGGGGGCCAGGCCCTGGACACGACCTGGTTTCTTGCTTTTCCTTGGAGTATTTCAGTGTGTGCTCAAGGCGTGGGGGTGGCCAGAGTTGAATTGGAGTAGAAGATGAGTATGTTCTTGTGTAGTGATGGTGGTTTCTGTATTAGAGTGTTTTAAGCAAGAGATACATACTGATAAACTGATTTGTCCCACTGATGGCTTGATTTTTTCTGTCACACTTTATTTTAATCCTCCAAATTTTTTAGGTAAGTTTGTTTTAGGGAAAAAAAGGTATTTACGTTTTCAAGGGACTGTTTTTATTTATGGGGGGGGGGGTCCTGAAAACAGCAAAAGTAAAAGGAATGACTTAGAAAATGATAGTTTGTAATTCTAATAGAGACTTACTATCCCTAATATTTTGGTATTTGTTAACAGTCACATTTGAGCAATTTCTCCTCCTGTTATCAGGGTAAATTGCTAGCTAGCTAGGAATGTACAGTTCATTCTTTTATTTTGACCATTTCTTTCCCTCTTTGGGGGGAGATAAGAGTCTCCGCGGGTGGCCTCCATGGCAGGTGCTGCTCTGACCCACACATATTGATGAGCTTGTCATGTTTGCAAGCTTTAGGCTGTTGATTAGCCTAAATCATTAAAGGCTAAAACATTAGCCTTCATCACAGTTCAGGCACTCTACCTCATTTGTGGGGCTTGAACTCTGGGCTTGGGCGCTGTCCCTCAGCTCTTCAGCTCAAAGGCAAGTGCTCTACCATTTGAGCCACATCACCACTTCTGGTTTTCTGGTGTTTTATTGGAGATAAGAGTCTCGTGAACTTTCCTGCTGGGGCTGGCTTTGAATCTCCATCCTCGGATCTCAGCCTCCTGAGTAGCTAGGATTATAGGCGTGAGGCAGCAGGGCCCGGCCTCACTGACTGTTAAAACTCATTCGTGCAACATGTTAGTAGGAAAAGTTATTGTGGCTGCATTAAAGATTTTTTTTTTTTGGTTGGTTGTGGGGCTTGAACTCTGGGCTTGGGCACTGTCCCTCAGCTCTTCAGCTCAAGGTGAGCGCTCTGCCGCTTGAGCCACAGTGCCACTACCGGTTTTTCTAGTGGTTTATTGGAGATAAGAGTCTCAAGGACTTTCCTGCCTGGGCTGGCTTTGAACCGTGATCTCAGCCTCTTGAGTAGCTAAAGATTTTTTTAAATGTACTTACAATGTACATATTAGTTTACACTGCAAAATATGTCACTGTGACAAATAGCTCACATTTTAGTGATTTCTAGCCAAGATACCGCTTATTAAACCCTCTGTATTTGAAACTACACTGTATTTTGCAAACCACTATATTTGGGCTGGGAATGTGGCTTAGTGGTAGAGTGCTTGCCTAGTATGCATGGAGCCCTGGGTTCAATTCCTCAGTACCACAGTGGTAGAGCAAATGAAGCTCAGGTACAGTGCCCAGGTCCTGAAGGGTTCAAGCCCCAAAATTGGCACAAAAAAAAAAAAAGCCACTGTATTTTCTTGCACTTTTGGAAGGCATTTTTATTATTAGGAATAGTATTTATTAAGTAGTTTATACAAAGGGGTTTCAATTCCAGAAGTCAGGTTATAAGTAAAATATATCTTGATCAATGTCACCCTTTCATTGTTCTTTGGAAGACATTTTTAAACTGAAACGACCCTCATACCCCAAATTTACTTGAATAAGTATGTAATGAAAAGAATATGCAGCAGTATGTTAGGTTATAAATTTTAGGCAGAATTATTTCCAGTTTTAGACTTTGAGGGAACATTCCATCTGTAAAAACTTTGATGTCCTCAGCCTGTAATCCTAACTATTTCAGGAGGCTAGAGATCCAGAGGATGGGGGTTTGAGGGTAGACTAAGTAAAGTCCTCAAGAGACTGTCTCTAAAATAACCAGCAAAAAGCAGGGTTATAGGTGTGACTCAAGTAGTAGGGCACCAGCTGAGCAAGCACACCCAGCAATTTTGAGGCCCTGAGTTCAAACCTGTTAGACTAAAAATTAACTGTCTGTAGTTTGTGAATTTTATACGTTGTGACTGAGAATCCTATTTAATTATATAGCAGTGTACTTAAAGTATTTTAAATTTGATACTTGCCAAAGGGTAAGAAATTAGACTTTCTAATAAGAGGAGTGAGTATAGTTTTTTTGTCATGTATATAATAAAAGTGTTTTCAAGAAATATATCCAGTTGGTTAGCCTGTTTGTAGTTGTGTGTGTGTGTGTATGTGTGTGTGTGTGCACGGGTGTGCACTTAATGCAGCCTGTCTGATTTGTTAATTGGTTTTCTTTTCTTTCCTTTTTTTTTTTTTGGGTCTGGTTGTGGGGCCTGAACTCTGGGCCTGGGCGCTGTCCCTCAGCTCTTCAGCTCAAGGCTAGTGCTCTACCACTTGAGCCACAGCGCTACTTCTGGCTTTTTTCTTTTTGCTTATGTGGCGTTAAAGAATCGAACCCAGGGCCTCAGGCATGCAAGGCAAGCGCTCTACCACTGAGCCACCTTCCCAGCCCCTAATTGGTTTTCTTTGGGAAGTAGATAGAATAACTATTAGGGTTTTATTTTTATTACTTAGTTTCTGTGTTGTATTGGGGCTTGAACTCAGGGCCCGGGCACTATCCTCCTAGCTTTTTAACTCATTCCCAGCTTTTTGCTCAATAAAAGTTTCACAATTTTTTCTGCCCAGGCAGGCTAGTTTCAAACTGTGACCAACCTCCTAAGAAGCTGGCATTACAGACATATGCCATCAGCTCCTGGCACCATGAAAAGGGTTTTTTTTTGGTCGGTTGTGGAGCCTGAACTCTGGGCCTGGGCACTGTCCCTCAGCTCTTCAGCTCAAGGTTAGTGCTCTATCATTTGAGCCATGGCACCACTTCCTGCTTTTTCTGCTTATGTGGTGCTGAGGAATCGAACCCAGGGCCTCATGCATTCGAGGCAAGCACTGTACCACTGAGACACCTTCCCAGCCCCCATGAAAGGTTTTTAATGAGATGAAAAAGTCCTTAAGTGAAAACAGGTATTGGAGAAGTCTGATTAGTTTCAAATTGATTGGCAATAGTATTCAAGTTAAGTGACTATTTTAGGGGGAAAAAATTGAGCCTAGGAGTTAGTAGAAATAAACGTAAAGAATGAACAAAGTTTACAGAGGAGAAAGATCCCAAGAAATCATCTAGGATCCAAGGTTAACTTGTGATGTTGAATTGCTAAACTCACTTTATTCTCATTTCTCAATTCTTACGTTTCCTCATTCAAATAGAATAAGATAGAGATTCTGAGATAATTTTGAAAGGAGGTATGTCTGAGTATAAAAGCCCATAGTAGCTGGGCACCAGTGGCTCATGCCTGTAATCCTAGCTACTCAGGAGGCTGAGATCTGAGGATCAGGGTTCGAAGCCAGCCCAGGAAGCAAAGTCCATGAGACTTTTATCTCCAATAAACCACTCGAAAACTGGAAGTGGCGCTGTGACTCAAGCGGTAGAACGCTTGCCTTGAGCTGAAGAGCACAGGGACAGTGCCCAGGCCCAGAGTTCAAGCCCCACAACTGACAAAAAAAAAAAAGACAAACCTCTAGTAGTTTGGGAGGTATAAATAAAAGAGTAATTCTGGATTTTTGGTTTTGAAATAAATATTTTCCCTCAAATTGGGAGACTATAATAGAATTGTCAATTTTTAAAATTCTGTTAAATGTAGCCCATAAAACAGCATCAAAAACTCATACCTCTGTATTGGCAGCATCATTTTATTTGAAGAAAGGATATTTTAGGCTGGGAATGTGGCTTAGTGGTAGAGTGCTTGCCTAGCATGCTTGAAGCCCTGGGTTCGATTCCTTAGTACCACGTACACAGAAAATGCCAGAAGTGGTGCTGTGGCTCAAGTGGTAGAGTGCTTGCCTGGAGCAAAAGTAGCTCAGGACAGTGCTCAAGCCTTGAGATCAGGCCCCAGAACTGGCAAAACACAACAAAATAAAATAAAGGATATTTTAGCCAGGTGCTGGTGGCTTATACCTGTAATCCTCAGGAGGCTGAGATCTGAGGATCACGGTTCAAAGCCAGCCCTGGCAGAAAAGTCCCTGTGGGACTTTTTTTTTTTTT